TAGATAGATAGATAGATAGATAGATAGATAGATAGATAGATAGATAGTAGTGCAGGCTACTGGAGAAAAATCAGATCATAAGTGTATGGCATAGTTTAAAATCAGGAAAAAAATCAAATGTGAAAGTAATGTACAGACTACTTACTTTCCTTTTAGAAGCTCACACAATGGAGATGGTTTGCAGGGGGAAGGAGGTTGAGGTGGAGGTGGGGGCATATGTCCACAATGTGGCTTTTCTGGATCATAAATAATCCAGTCATCTGCCATTATTTCACAAGAAGGTATAACAGTCCCATTCCGTAACATACAGTCATCATGGATATTGTTGTTGCATTTTCCTAAATTGAAGTGACAAAGGAACCGCTCAAAAATTCATACTTACATTTCCATCATATTATTTGATGAAGAATAATTTGGTACCTACAGTAAATTTGTAATAACAGTAATATGAAAAAAAATTGGCAATAACCTTTACACTGACAATAATAACACGAGGACTAAAAAGAAGGGGGAAACCATACAAAGACACACAGCTGATACCAAAAGATTTGTACTTTCCCTATGCATGCTTGCTTTTTATATCATACATCAACAATCCTCAGTGTTGGAAAAAAATCAGTGACATGGAAAATTATTATTACATAATTTATATACGTTAGAATTGGCCTTTTGGATTTTATGTCAGAATGTCTACCTTGTACGTTGCAGATAGTTTTGCAATCATCTACTTTACAATGTTCATTTTACAAATGTAAGTATAGTCATTCTTACCACATTGTCCCTGGGTATTGTTGGCAAAAGTGCTATAGGGCATTCGGATTGTGAAGGCCATGCCATTGTATGTTACATTAATCTTCAATCTATGTAGTTCCACCACATGGTTTATACCAGCCTTGTAAACCTTCATGCTATATTTTTCATAAGGTAAAGCCACTGCCACATGATTCACAGTCACCTAATGTTCAAGAAGCCAGAAAAATATAATTAAATAGGAACCATGGTTACAATGAAATAGTCCCTCCAACATATCTTTTAATTATGATATACCTAAGAAAATTTTATATATAGGCAGCCTGGCAGGCAGGCAGGCAGGCAGGTAGACAGACAGACAGACAGAGACAGACTGGAAGAACCTCAAAACATGCTTTTGTCAACAAACCTGGGGATCCCATAATATAACTGAGCCTATTAATTACTTGATAGTTGACTGAATGCACAAAATAAAAATATACTTGCAACATTTGTTGTCCCACCCTGAGGAAGACTAGTGGTTCTCATCAGGTTCAATTATTATTTCAACAATGCTATCAAGTTCATATCACAGTTTGAGTAAAGATCTTAGATCAGATTGAAAATGATTTTGGAGGATGGGCACTAGATGTAATAGCTGGGATATGCAGTATTTTTCCTCTGTAACACTGTGATACAAGCATTTTATTACAAAGAAATGCTAGCTAGTCACAATCAATGATTATGTCAAGTATAAATGTGCTGCAAGCAGAATCTCCTTATAGGCAGATGTGCCTCTGTACAAGGCCCACTGAGATAATACCCAGCAAATTAAAATGATGCCAAGGACCATAGCTAACATTAGGCCAATTGATCCCATATGACAGGAGTGTGAAGCTGGCGGCTCACAGGCTGGATGTGCCACTTGCAGGCCACACCCACCCTGGCTCTGCAAAGACAAAAAAAATGTCGCAATATGTTGTCATGCAACACATGACGTGATCAAGTTTGACATCCACGCCATATGACATGAGTAATATTGGGTCAAGGCTTAAAAGCTGGTTTGTGGAAAAAATAAGCCATGGCTAATTTGAGGCCAAACTCCACAAGTTTGGGCTACTCTTTCTGGGAATAGGGGATAGCCATAAGTTTTCTTTATTTGTAAAAATGGAAGAGAGCAGAACTTATTTTACCTGGGAAATAAATCATTACAGAAAGGAAGTCAATAGAGTATTGCCAGCAAACTACAACTGTTAAGTTTATGTTGCACTGAGCACTGTAACTGGGCATCAGGTACTTTCCCATAAACAGTTAAAGTTGCCAAACATAAAGAAAGTACAGATAGTGTGTTTGCCAAGGAGATAAACAATGGACTTACGTACTATTAAAACTTGGTTTGAGTACCCTGGGAATTGCAACTTCTCAATGAGTCATACTTGCCTGCACAAGTCATTCAATCATTGGGTTTCTAGCTTGGGGCTGGTTTAAATTTCAAGACAGTGCAAACCTTATGATCAGGTCCAAAGGTTAACAAAAAGGTTTTCTCAAATGTGCCTGATGGCTATTATTTTGGAATGGGATAATTGATGGTATTTGCTTAGGAGCTGCTAATCCATTTTGCTTATTTATTAAGTTTTGAAGCCATTTTTTTTAAGTTGAAGAAGGATATTGCATAGGTTCTTTGCTACATATTAAACATTTTGGAAGTTTTCTTTTCTCCTTTCCACAGCCCTCCACTCTCTGCTTTAAATGAAAGTATATTTCAAAATTCTATTGTAGTGAAATCCATGAAGCCACCTGGTAGACATTGTCTATCTAGGAAGGATTTAGTGAAAGGAACAAGTAAAAGTTACAGAGTTACCTGAAAGAGATAGGAGAGAAAAGCCAAAGGGAAGCAGTTCTTGAAGAATGCTCTGCTTCTTGAAGAATGAGAAAAATGTGGCTGTTTTGAACCAATCCTCAAAGATAAGGGTTTTTTGGAGTGGTTTTTTTTTCAGCTGAGGTGAAAACTGGAGATATTGGAACATTAATATGAATGATCTGTAAATTATCAATTGAAAGGGTTGTTGTGAAGTAACAGTGAGAAGTACTATAATATACTCTGTGTGATTATGCATCCCAGAGACCGTCTGCTACTGACCATATGCAGGGTTGGTAGAGTAAATTCTCAGCTGAACCTGGGTAAGTAAAGATTTGCTAGTCATAACTGTTATTTACAATTTTGTACTGAAATGTAAGTCATTTCACACGTACCTCTACTTTCAAAGGAATCAGTTTGACCGTTTTGAGGCGCACTTCCTGGGACTCATGTTTTACGGTGAGAGTACGGGTGCAAGAGACAGATTGCGCTGGATCACAGTGGTAGTTATCGATGTACACTCCAAAGTTGTGGATGGTGTGATCAATCTCTTCCATTAGGACATAGGTACAATTACCTTGGTAACTGTAGTAGAGTCCATCAAATGTCATGTAATGTGGGTCTCCCCAGCCAGTGCAATAGCCTTCAGAAAGATAATAGAGTTGATTATTTGCTGGGAACTCCTATAAATAACTAAAAGAAATGGCAAGGGGTCCTAATGGATTTTGAGAATAAATTAGTTTAGAAAATCTAGCAAAAATTGTCAAGAAACCTGTGATTGGAATAAAATATTGTCATTCTCATTTACAGAGATAAGCACAAATGGAATATTGAAATTGTCTGAAAAATTCTTTGAAATAGTAAATTCTTTGAAATGACAAATTGTCCATTGAGTGGACGATTCTTTGAAATTTCTCCAAAAGAAAGAGAAATTCTCACATTGCTTCTCAAGTACAGAATTATCCCGGAGGAGGGACGGAAGCATTTCAATGGGAAAAGCACACTGGAAACTGTTCTTTCCTTCCTTTCACTTTTTAATTTTGATTTTGCTCAGTATTTTAAGCAAATGACCGATAATAAGAATATGATGGGGGAAGAGTATTTTTATTTATTTGAATTGGCTTAGATTGTCTAATCTAAAATTTTATTAGGTTAAGTTTATTTATTTATTTACCTATCTGCATGTGCTCTTTCAAAAGAATAAATTTATCTGCATCTGTTCTTTAAAAGACATTTGTTTTATTCAGAAGTGCCAATATATACAATTAGTAATGTACATTTTTCTCCCATCCGGGAGAAAAATTATGCTAATTAGCACTTTTTCATTAATTAGATACTTTATATGTGAATTGTTTCTGCTCCATCTATGACGTGAAAAGTTCCTTCCAGGGGCAATAGCATGCTTGAAACGGTATCTGAAAATATCTTTAGGGTTTTTTTTTTCCAATTATCTTAACTATTTATTTCAGAGTGCTTTTGAGTCAGTGCTGATTCTGAGTGATTGCCTGGACAAGTTCCTGAAGTTTTCTTGGTAAGTTTTTGGAAGTGATTTGCCATTGCCTTTTTCCTAGGGCTGAAAGAGAATGAATGGCCCTGTCATACCCCTGGTGGAGACTGACTCTGAGGGAGAGGAGGAACAGCCTGACAGGGAGTGGAAGTGTGGCTCCAGAGGTTGTGGAGGAGGCTGGGGAAGGGCAGAGGCCGGCTGAGCAGTCAGAGGAGGACCCGGGCCCATCCCTTCTCCATTGTAGGGCACGCAGGGAGGAGAGGATAAGGGAAAGATGTGGTATACTCGAAGGAGAGAGCCTTGATCCTCTTCATGGGCTGCAGCTGTGACAACTGAATAAGAGTATGGACATGCGTATGGGTGAACGCTGGAAATAAAGCGAGGAAATATCTCTAGTTTATGGTTCCTCTCTGAGTTTGGCATCTTTCCCAGTGTGTGTTATCTGTGGACATCCTCCAGCCCTTATCTTGCCTGGTTTGTGTTGCTTTTTTCCTTCTTCTTGTACCTGTTTGTGTAGGAGTTTTTTGTCTTCCATCAAGAATATTCAGAGCTTGGAAGCAAAGTGAAGGAATAAAAGGGGCTTCACCTGTTTTCTGTGACTGTGTTTGTTTTATATCCCACCCTGGGTCATCACAGGCCCAAAGTTACTCAGCTGGTTTTGTGCCACAGACAGAACTAGAACTCCTAGTCTTCTGCCTAGTGTCTTACACACTATGCAAACTGGCTTTCTTATTAATATAGTATTTAGTTTCCTTCAGTTTAATTGTCTACCAAATATGATTTCAACCCTTCAGTGTTTCTGCATGCTAATTTTCTATAAGGAAGCATTCTTAATCTCAAAGGCATAGGTGTTGATTTCTTGTTTGAACATGGATCAATGTATTTTCTTGCTCTTTTTTAAAGAATGCCTTTCTTTATATTTTCATCCCATCTCCTGAAACTGATCCCTGAAGCTCTTCGCTCCAAGTTCAATTTACACAAATTAGCAGCTCTTTCAGGTAGTACAGTATGTGCAGTACAACACCAGTCCAATAGCTTGAGGAGTTCTCTTGAGCTTCAAAAGAACGTCAACATTGTTTATATAAATGTACTCACAGTCACATTCCCAATGCGGGCAGCATCCATTTTCATCCAATACTTCTATAGGAGCAAGCCCATTGGCACATGTGGGCTTTGGTGGTTTGTCACACTTGACAGGGTACCTCTCCCATATGTTACCCGTAACACACACTAACTCGGTGCAATTACATATCCCCCCACTTTCTCCTGGCTCTACCTGAGAGAACAGAGAAAAAAACATATCACACTTTATAATCCTGGCCAAACATGCAATATATGAATGGATTAGAAGAACTAATTTAACTGAAAAACAAAGTTGGAAGGGGTCTTGGAGATCTACTAGTCCAATCCTTTGCTCAAGCAGGAAACCCTATACCATTTCAGGCAAATGGGTGTCCAATCTCTTCTTTAAAACCTCCAGTGTTGGAGCACCCACAACTTCTGGATCCAGCCCACGGGATGCTTAGATCTGGACCATGGGGCCACTCTGGAAACATCAAAAGACTGGCCTGTGGTGCCTCTGCCAGCAAAATCAGAGCTCGCAAGGGCTGCATGCGGCCCTGCTGAGCTCTGTTATCACTGGCAGAGGTTGCAGGATGCCGTCGCAGTCAAAAACAGAGCTCAGGAGCCCATTTTTGCTGGCAGAGTGCTCAGGCCCCCACAGGTGCCCCCAACACAAGTGATGTCCAACTGGCCATGCCCAACAGGAGACAGTACTGGGTATGTCATCTTGAACCACCTCCTACTATATCCCACCTCCTAAATAAAATAGATATAAATCTACTAAAAAAATAATAACCTATAGCTGTATTAGACTAAAATATCCAAGATCCTCATCCAGTAAGCCCAAAACTTGATAATCTAAGTGAAATCTAATTCCAGAGACATCCAGCATAGTTTTAGCTACATTTTTCCAATGTACAATAAAATGGACTTAACTCATCATGTTTATGTTTGTATGATCATAATTAATTTTGTACATTTCGCCCCACTTGAAAAGACCAGGCCATATACCAGGGGTATTCAAACCTGACAGCTTTAAGACTTGTGGACTTCACCTCCCAGAATTCCTCCTCCAGTCATGTTAGCTCAGGAATTCTGGGAGTTGAAGTCCACAAGTCTTAAACTTCCCGAGTTTGAAGACCCTTGCCATATACAATAGATTTCTATTGAAACTTGAAGATGAGCCAGTACCAGTAAAAAAAAAAAAAAAAAAATCATGTACAAAATTAATTCTGACTTGCCCAGAAATTTTGAAAAGATAATTTTCTGAGGCACATTTTGGAGATAATTTTCTATTTCAACAACTTTTGTACAAATTCTGGATTTTATGCATCCAAAGATATTTAGCAAGCATAGATGACATCTGAGCATGGCAGACATAAACAAATTAAATTAAAATTAAATTAAATTTGTAAATAAATAAAATAAGAATTACTAACAATATGATCTCCTAGATCACAGGGTTGTATTGTACTCGATCCTGCCGTTGGACTTGTAGGAGTTTTTATGGAGATGGTGGTGGGAATAGGTGTTGCAGTCGGAGTAGCTGGAGTTGTGGTAACTGTGGTAGTACTGCTTTCTGTAGATGAAATGATAGTAGGAGTAGGAGTGGGGGTAGATGGAGTGGGGGTAATTCTGGTAGTAGTGCTTTCGGTAGTGGTAGTAGGAGTAGGCGTTGGAGTGGGAGTAGATGGAGTGGTGGTTAATGTGGTAGTAGTGCTTTCACTTGTGGAAGTGATGGTAGAAGTAGGAGTGGGAGTAGGTGGGGTGGTGGTAATTGTGGTAGTAGTGCTTTCAGTAGTAGAGGAGGTGGTAGAAATAGGAATGGGAGTTGGAGTAGATGGAGTGGTGGTAATTGTGGTAGTCGTGCTTTCGGTAGTAGAGGGGGTGGTAGAAGTAGGTGTTGTAGTGGGAGTAGATGGAGTGGTGGTAATTCTTGTAGTAGTGCTTTCAGTAGTGGAGGTAATGGTAGGAGTGGGAGTTGGAGAAGATGGAGTGCTGGTAATTGTGGTAGTCATGCTTTCGGCAGTAGAGGGGGTGCTAGAAGTAGGTGTGGGAGTGGGAGTAGGTGGAG